ACTATTTTCTATGACTACCTTTTTATTTTATTTATTATCATTTTTATGGATTGTTAGAAATTTTTCGTTGGATTCAAGCATTTCATAGCTTGTTTGAAATTGATATTTTTCTAATATTCGTTGATTGCATTATAATTTATTTTCTTTTATAAATTGTATTTAAAAAAATAATGCTTTCTTTTTACACAACACTCCTTTGTTAAAATTCCTATAGCAAAATACGAACTTATTTGAATTCAGTAGTTCCCACTCGAGTGCTAACAATGACCACAAAATAAAGAACCAAAAAGAAAAGATCTTGTAAATGGATATTTAACTATATCAGAGTCGAACGATTTTTATTAACTTTATCTCGTATAATCTGACTTACTTAATAAAATATTTGACCTCAATATATTATATTATATTTTATTTTCTTTTAGAATTCGAAAAATATAAAAATTAATTAGTTCAACCTTCAAATAAATAAAGGCAATAATTTTAACCTTAAACACTTTACAAGATTTGAAAATCTTTTTTTTTTCTTTTTTTGTTGGACAACGATTTGAAAATCCTATTATCATAACAATTCAGCAATTCACTATTAAGACGGATTAAATAGCTGTCGTAATTAAGTGGTGGCTATCCCCACCTAGTGAATTTTTGAATTATTTCTATATTAGCATTTGAGCGATGAGTAATTGATAACATCAAATCAAGGTTAATTTCATTTATTTAGTATAAATAAATAATTGAGAGTGTAAAAAATCATATATATATATGTAATACTGCCTCATAGGATTTTCACTAAATTTCTGCAAACTTTTTGAACTTATTTCTGTCAATTTTGCTTCATACACGTATATCTTAGGTTTTAGAAACAACAATTAATATTTTTTTTGCCCATTTTGCCTCTACCTTTCACAACCCTAATTTCATACCTGTGGACTCATTTCAAAGGTCTCACTTATCTATATATTGAATGTATTTGTACCTCTGACACTTCACAGCTTATCACACACACAAGAGTAAGAGTCATAAAAAAATATTTTGCTACGTTTGTGTGAATAAAAGAGTAAAGGTGAAAAAAAATACACATTTTGAATCAAAAGTAAAACTTGAAGAAATGGAGAGAGGAGAAAGCTCAAACATAGAACATAAGTACACCAGAAGAGCACGCGCATGTGGTAAAAATTGCACTCATTTTTCCTAATATTTTTTTTAAGACTAAATCTATATGGACAATGTGCATAGATTTGTGTTTTTTATGTTCACGTTTCTTATTTGTCGTAGTAAAAAATACGTGTTAATTCGTTGGATTTGGTTTTTTGATAATCGATCTTTTATTAGCACATTTGTGCGATTAAGTTCGCAAATCTTTTTGATGCTTCACAGATCTCCTTGCGAGAATTGGATAAAAGAACGATTTTTTTGTCTCCCTTCTGTCATTCATTCTGTTCTGATTTCTTTTATATTTGACAAACATAGTTTTTTTAATTTTATTGTTACTCTTTTAATTTTTGTTTTTCACAAATCAGTATTCTATCGATTTGATGTGGTACAAATACATAATTTTTTTAATGCTTCATGGATCTCATGGATCTTCTTGCGTGAATTGCATAAAAATATGATTTTGTTTATTTATTTTATCGCTTTCGCGTAACTCATTCTATTTAGATTTCTTTTATGCTTAACATTTTTTTTATTATTTATAATATTTTTAATTTTTTTGTTTAGCATAGATCAAACGTTAATTAAATTTTTTTAATTTTGTTCATGTAGTCATTGGATTTCAATTTTCCTTGTTTCATCTTAATTTCTTTTTATTTTTTTAAATAATCCAATGCATTGTAATTAGTACTTTAATATAATTCAATTAACACTTTTTCACAATTAAGAGCAACTCTTTACTTCATCACAAAACAAATGTGATCCCATACGGATCAAATCAGAAAGGGTTCTAATTAATGTGGATAAAATTGGTTGTGATAAAAAAAAAAGGAAATTAATTCAATATAATCCTCAGTTTTTTAGTCAATTCGATGAATATTTATTTCATATATGTATTATATAATTGTATTTCATTTATCGATAAACGGTAAATGTATATTAATCACATCATCAATATATTCATATATATAGTTGTTTTAAATAAAATAAAACATGAGTTTCAATATAAAATATAATAGAATATTACATTGTGTGAGAGATTAGTGCAATAAAAGTGAGTTTTTTGTACTTGATTTTTACATAATATGTTTGTTGTTAGTTATTAGACAAAAATCCAACCACTCTATAATTTCTTCATGCTCTACTTTCTGTACGCGATGACGATAATAAAAGATGGTCATATATAAAACATGAACAACAATTAACAGAAAACGAGGCTACTCAATTTATACATATTTTTTTGAACAAGTTCGAGTTTTTAAATTTATTTCACTTTTACAGTTTTGAAAAATATTATTTTTTTCTTTATTGCATTGCATATGTCGATCCTATATCGCATCCCTATATATTATGTGATTATTACATTCTCATGTGTATATATTTAATTATAAATTTAAATATATTATTTCAGGCATTGTCATTAGGGAAGGGGGCGCCCCCACTCCCACCGCCGCCACCAATGCTGTCGACATCCCGGCCGCCCCAATCAATGAGACGCTCGGAGAGGTAAACCGAGAGCAACAACAAGGCGTCAAAAGAGAGGCGGTCCAATACATGCCGACAACAAATATCACTCGCATCATGCGGTGCGTCCTCCCCGCCCATGTTAATATCGCCGACGATGCAAAGGAGGCCATCCAGGTGTGCGTCTCCGAGTTCATCAACTTTGTTACTGCTGAGGCAAACAACCGATGCCGCCGTGACTATCGAAAAACCGTCACGCCGGAGGACGTGCTGGCGGCAATGACGTCGCTGGGTTTCGGCGACTACATAGAGCCCCTCATCATTTTCCTCAACAAGCATCGAGCCCAGCAGGACCTCGAGAGCGGCTCCATGAATCAGTTGGGGTTGTTCGTTAGGCGCGACGATGATAATGGTGGCTTCGTTCACCATCAGCAGCCGCAAGATGCTCATATGGTGCGGTCGCCGCCACCACCGGCGGCACCAACGATGGGGTATTATGTCCCCTTACCGCCGCCTGCTGCTGGCACAGTGGAAGATGGGGAAAAATTAGGTGGATCGACGACGGTCAACAATGCATATATGTCGTGCAATTATGGCTGTGGAGAAGGCTCCTCCAGGTGGACCCGAGTTTGATCCATTTCAGAAGTTTTAATTAATGCAAGTGTGTTGTGATTTAAATGCACTAAAACATCTTAGACAAATTAAATACTATTTTCTATGACTACCTTTTTATTTTATTTTATTATCATTTTCATGGATAATTAGAGATTTTTCGTTGGATTCAAGAATTTCATAGCTTGTTTGAAATTGATACTTTCTAATATTCGTTGATTGCATTATAATTTGTTTTCTTTTATAAAAACACGAGTATATAATATAGTCGATATCGTGAACGATATAATTGTTATAAAAATGATATAACTCAACAATCAGCATATGTATTGATCGTCCGTAAATATCGCTCCATATCGCGATGTAACATGATTTTTTGATATTTTTGGTGGTTATTTGTGCAATTTTATCATATTTTGGGATGATTTTGTTCACATTTTGGGTGATTTATGTGATTTTCATCACATCTTTATTTATCATAATTATGTTTTTATGTTAACACAACAAAGCCAAAGTAAATAGTTTCGTTAAATTATAAGATTGTCCCAGTCAAAACCAACAAATTTGTTCAACTTTATATAATCATAAATAATTTATATCAACAATTTCTAATAATTATGATTTTTATCCGATTTAATAATTTAGTTACTATTGAAATTTGAATGTAGATCAATTTCGAATGAGTGGCTTGGCTTGACTTCAAATTATAAAATTTTACAATTTTGTTGCATTTAATTTATTCTATATCTAATCAAACAACAACAGTTTCTTTTTAGCGAACTTTAGAACAATGATTGATGAATGACATGTTTCCAAATACAAATATTATCCATAAAATAAAATAAAGAATCTAATGCAGGAAGAGAGTGGATGACATGTTTCCAAATATAAAAAAATGTATTAAATTCACTTTCATTACACCAACTACATTATTTTATTTAGTTTTTTTGATACAAAAAAATTGCACCAATTTATTTATTTATTTATTTTGCTCTCTTTTGTAAAATTAGAAAACTTAGATGAAAAATGGTTATCAACTTAATATACACATACATGATAGTTTGAATATATAAAACATTATTAGTGTAATTATGATGATTTTTGAATCCGGCCATTCAACTAAATTATATTTGTGTGGAGCCATACTTGTTCTGATTAGAATTGGAGATCGCTATCGGATTATAAAAAAAATAAAATCAAAATTTTCGGAAGTAAAAATTAATAGTAATTCATGTTACACAAGAAAATGAAAAAATAATAAAATTCGGAATTTCGGATATGTGAATAGAAAAACTTGTTGCAAAGTAAAACAAATTCGCTACGTAGTCGACGAAATTCGAAACGTAGCAGAACATTCATGAGTTAATTAATAGTGATATCACAAGTCTAATTTTTAGAAAATAATTGGATATTTTGAAATTAAAATCGAACAAAAAATCAGTATATCGTCTATATTCCGATTCCGAGCCACAAAAAAATGGTAAAAAAAAGAGTGTAAATCGGAACTTTTCAAATTCAAAATGGAGAATATTCTTCGAAAAATCCGAAAATTTTCAGATTGGCATCGTGGAACTCGAAAATTCGGTAGCAATTTCCTCTTTCGACTCGTGACATTTTTTTTAACTGGGTTCTGTAAAAGTTAGGTATATAAATATTTTACATGTTTAAAAAATAATAATTAATGACATACTTAATTATTTGTGAAATAAATAATAGTTTTTTATTATTTTTATCTTTTTTATTTGAGAGAAAAAAAAAAAGAATTATTTTTGCAAAATAAAAAGAACCGAACACCCTCTAAATACGTTTGATCCACCTTTTCAAACTTCAAATCCCCAAAACCAAAATTTTTCACCAGCAGTCCCTCACAGCACCAGAATTCAAAAATTGACTGCAGAGATCTTCGAATTCGAAGCTCCGAAGTTATCATCCAGAGTAATTTTGGAAGCTGGGATCTGGAAAAGAATCCATCTTCGTCGTCTTCCTCCAATCTCTCTCTCTCTCTCTCTCTCTCTCTCAACAGAAATACTGTTTGAATTTTCTTGCAGTGGAGGGGTACATTGTGTATCCGTGGTAACCCTTCTGCTTGCAGCCCTTCAAGTGTTGTTTTTCTGGTTTAATTTCGCCCATTTACGCTCCGGATATTTGTCCCCATAAACAAGGAAGAGGAATCTGAGAAACTGGTTCAGTCATTTCGTCGAACATGACGTGAGCGGTCGTTATTTGCTAGGCATTTGTAGGAATGTGAATGTGGCTGACGGGTTTTGTTTGCTTGGGATCTGCTGCACTTGTCTACAATTGTTTGCCGCTGAGCTGGAGCTTGTGCTAGGGTTTTGGGCATTTTGATTTTCAGTTTCGAAGTTCTGAGATGGCGACCACCACCAAACGAGCTTATAAGCTACGTATCCTTTTTTTTTTTTAAATGACGTCCAGTAATTTCATTTGCTATCTCTCCATTTCCCCGATTCTCCTTTTTCTTTTACCTTTTTTTTTTTTCTTTTTTTCTTTTTCCCTTTTTAAGATTTAGGATATGGAATTAGATTTGGAAACTGGAATGCAGTGCTGTGTGGTGAATTTTGGTTGGATCCGGTGGAAGAAGAATTACTTTACGTGTGTGTGTGCGCGTGTTAATTTGGTGAATATACCGCTTGAGCATGAATAGCACATCATATAGAAATTAGGGCAAAAATTCAGGAGTGTCAGCTAAAAAATGTGACTTCACGTTGTTAGAGATTGATAGTATGAGAAAGTGATTTCCATTACAAGTACTTTTTTCCTCTTTCATTGTGTAAATGAGGTATTTTTGTTCATCTACAATATGTGTTTGATGCTTTTGTGAATAGGTGAAACTGATTGGGTAGACTATGCAAGCATAGACGTCATGTTGCAAAATCGCAAAAACATTAAAAAAGAAGGAAAATAACCTATGATGAAAAATTGGAAATCTGTCTTGGTTTGCATTAGATAATTGTTGCAAGGTACTAGTTTTAATCAAATGCAAAATTTTGCATTAGTTGCATGTGGAGATTTGCAGTATATTAAAGTAGAACAGGTGATGACGATGTGATCAGTTATGACTACATGAATGCTAACTAAAATTGATAGTTTTTGCATGTGTTCTCTTGGTTTCTGAGGGATGATGACAAGATTATCAAGAGTATTGAGGTCCAAAGTCTGCATTATTGAATATATTCCATTAACTGAATCAAGAAGTAACTGCGTTTGTTGGATTTCTATAGACTAATGAACCTCCCATGCAATTATTGAAAAAAACAAAAGAAACACGGATGTTGGGTACACGCCTACTGATGATAAGCAACCTCCCTGATTACTGTCCAATAATAAACTTTAATTTCAACCACTTAGTGGCAATGCAAACAAATGTGCTTAAGGAATAGTAGTAGAATATAAAAGATGACATGTTAATTTGGAATCCTTAACAGTATGATTGCTATAGAGGAATTTGTAGCACATTCTGCAAGTGTGAACTGCCTAAAGATCGGGAGGAAATCATCAAGAGTTCTAGTCACTGGAGGAGAAGATCACAAGGTCAATCTCTGGGCTATCGGCAAGCCCAATGCCATACTGGTTAGTTTATATCCAAATTTGCCTTTTCTTTTTAGTGGCTTTATAATCTATGCTGTCGAGCCTTATTTTTGGTTCGAACAAGTGTCATAATTGTTGGTACCTCCCATGTCAAAAATGATTTTTGTCAAAGCAGTTTAATAATTTAAGACTGCATTACCCATTTCCAGGGAGGCTTTGAATTGGGGTTGCTTGAGGGAATCATTCCTTTGTTGGTTTTCATTATACTACCGGCATATCATTACATTTTATTGTTTTCATGTTCCCCTAATTTATCTGTGATAGGGAACTAATTAGAATTTTCCTCTTATATTTTCAATGCATTAGAGTTTGTCGGGTCATTCGAGTGGAATTGATTCGGTTAGCTTTGATTCTTCGGAGGTTTTGGTAGCTGCTGGAGCAGCTAGTGGGACCATTAAGCTTTGGGATTTAGAGGAGGCTAAGAGTAAGCTTTCTGCAAACCCATTTTTTCTAATTGTATTTAGCAAGCACATAAAAAAGTAAAACTTTGTTGTGTTTGACTTTTTTCCATGTCTTTGATAGTCCTTCGCACCCTCACCGGTCACCGATCAAATTGCATATCGTTGGACTTTCATCCCTTTGGAGAGTTCTTTGCATCTGGATCTCTGGACACAAATCTAACAATATGGGATATCCGAAGAAAAGGGTGTATACACACTTACAAAGGTCATACTCGAGGTGTTAATACTATCAGATTTACTCCTGATGGGCGATGGGTTGTATCTGGTGGTGAGGACAACACCGTGAAGGTTAGATATGTCATTTCCTTCGACTTCTTGTTTTTACCCTTAATTTCCGTCCTTTCTAGCCGTGCTTAATCTATTATTGAATTGTGAATACAGGTTTTTTCTAACTATAGAGATTCTCTCGGAGTTACCTTATTTTAATTGCTGTCCGTATAGTATTCTCTCTTCACTCAAG